GACATATCCCTGCTGCTTTCCTTGCACTCTTTTTCTGAGGAAGTGTCCCATTCGTGTCCTGGGCATCTCTTTAGCAAAGATTGCCAAATGGACTCAGTCAGTTGTTGGTCCATCTTATTTGTAGCCTTTGTGCATCTTTCCTCCATCCCTAATTGCAATTTGACTGAAACAAAAAGGAGAACTACAGTTCCTAGAGGTAAGATAAATGCTTCAGTCTCCTCCACAACTAAATCTGCCATGTCAGGCTTTATTTCTTCTTAAGAGTAGGGCATAGGGATGTTGGTAGTGGCATTTGCATTGCAGGGAATTTCTTAAATTTGGAAAAGCAGAAAGATATCTTCTCACCTTTTCTATTTTTTTTCTTCTTCAGGCAGGAAATCTGTACTTCATATGTTAAATATCTTTAGTGCAGTTGTTACAAAGCTCCTCAGTACCATAAATGAGAATAATTTAGCACCAGGTTGTTTTGAGCTTTGCTAGATGTCTACCTAGATGGTTTTAGCTTTTACTTTAGACAAAAATAACTCTGCAAAATTCACCTTTCTCCTCTGAGACCCTAAGTTCATGTTTACTCCAAAAAAAAATAGTTCATTTGGATGAGTCAGTAGGAAAACTGAAAGAATAATTTGCCCTAATAAGACTGACCTTATTTACTCCTGAAGACGTGGGGTGGATATAATTACTTGACAGCTCTCATTAGCACTTATTTTCTCTGTAAAACCACATGCAGCCATCCCATTTTAGTACATTCTGTTTGGTCATTCTTCATCTTGTCTGCCTAGAGAGTCATTAGATCTGTGGGAAAGAGGGAAAATAAAGATCTTATTTAACTTTTCATCTTTATTTGAAGCGACAAACCAAACTACAAAGTGTTGGCTTTGGTTGCAAAGGCAGCATGATGGTTAGGACTGCCACTGATGTTCAACCTAACAAATAGCTGCTGTGGCTTCAAACATTGCATTAGTGGCTTAAACTAATATTTTTGGTCTGTGAGCTGGAGGCAGAATGGGGCGATGTGATCAACTTTTGCAGCTTTATGTTCTAAATCCCCTTGCAACACAAAAGTCTGTGAGTGAAGGATACTCTTCCCAGTTCCCCTCTGTCTTCCCTAAATCTAGGTCTAATTTAGGAGTAAAAAATGGTGCCTTCAGTGATTACCAAGATGAAAGTTGTCTAATCTGGCCTTCAGTCATGATTGTGGTATCTATTTTTAACAGGAAAACATTGCACCAACTTTCTCTTTCCTACTTTGAGGAGACTAAGGCTCCTGAAACGTTTGCTAACTCACAGAATACTGTCACATTTTTAGAAAGCTTTTGTCTTAATATCCCAGATCATTTAACAAATGCTCATGAAGAGTGATTGAACATCCCTGTCAGTTCACTGAACAGGGAGCAAGAGATACAGGGAAGTTCAAGGTCAAACAGCAGAACTGAGAGAGTAGGGTTTGAACATGTTGGCTCTTGTGCTTTACCTGCCAGACCATTCTTGCAATCCTAAAGTCTATAGACATTTCATGAGGAAACTGCCCCAGGTTGTTTTTTTCCCTCACCTCCAGAATATCTAGCTGATGCTAAATGTGCTTTACCAACACTCATGTTTGGTGTCAGAATGGGACTGGTAATGATGGCAATACCATTTCCAACATGTTTCCCTGATGGCCAGAAGGGCTCTTAGGTATTTTTGAAATTTTCAATGCAATTGTGTGAAAATTGTATACAGCTAATATGTAAAACACATTTTAAAAATAAATACATTTGTGGCCAGTACTCACTGTACCAAAAAGTGAACCAACAGGTATTTATTTTAGAATATACATTTTTTTTTAAATGAAAAGTTGTTGGTTTGTTGAGAGTTTTTTTTCTGGTAAAATACAGACTGCCTGTATTATTTGATGTTTGGTCACCAGTCCTGCTTTGGAGAGTAATGTTTTGGATCCATCAACTGGACTGCTGTCAATGTTATAAGTAAAGGATTTGCTTATAAATTTTACCCTAAGAGGGAAATAAAATGTATTTTGAGTCTATAAACCACCTTTTAGCAGGGCAGCAGTTGGAGTCAGAGCTTTCACATTTTTTTTACAACAAATGTTTCTGTTGCAAGACAAAAGGGAAGGATAAAATATGGAATTTGAGTAAAGAGCATCTGTGAAAAGAATGGGTAAGTGTGTCAGAAGGGAAAAAGAAAAACAGCTAGAAAGAAGGCCAACACTGTTTGTTTACTGCTTTTGATCTTTTAAATCCTAAGCTTTTCCAGAGAGATTTAAAAGTAACAGATGTGGAGACGTATTTACATTTATTATCATTTTTCAAACTTTTAAAAAAGAGGGGTTTTTTTACACTGTCACAATAGAAGCATTAGGTAGTTGGTGACAATCTTTATTGACCCATTTGCAGACACCCTTGCTCCTCCAAAAGCAGTAGAGACATGTATTAATAGACCAATAAAACATGCCCTGCC